CCAGACCCACTTTCTAACAACTATGTGGCAATACAGGGAAAAGTCAGCATATTGTTGGTCCTAATCACATAAATAAGAGTCAGTGTAATTCCTTATCTGAGATAAAATTAGATGTTTTTGAATTCAAGATCTAGCCTTGCAGTCTTGACTCAATGTGTTCTTCATGATTGTAGTCACATCCAGTGACAAAGAGGAAATGAATAAGGTTAATGCTGTTGATCTGGCCAGAGGGCAGTCAGTTGAAAGCTTCACCAGATTGATTAAGGCCAGAATGTGACCTAACCTGTAATTGGATAATTGGACCCAGTGTTCTGTGAATACTAATCATTTACTCCCACTTAATGGTGTGTCTTTGCCAGACTTAATCATTATCTCTGCCTGATTTAACCTCTGTGAAACATGGGTAAATAACAGGGCACTTTACAGAATGAGAGAGCTAATAAACTGTATACGCTGGCGAGTGCAAGTCTCTTTTTAAAATTCAGTTCTTTGGCCCGCATCCGTTCACTGCCAGTGTGAAGAACGCTTTGGAAATGTTCGTTGTGAATTTTACCCACCAGGATGACATGAAGTACAAGGAAAGGTTGTCCTGTTGAAGTGATTCGAGGAGACTATGGAAAGGCTTGAATTTGCATTAGTCTAAATGGGCTACAGACACACAGAGCAATGTGTCTATTAATAATACTTTGTAACTATTAAGTGTGTGGTGATTCATTCCTTAAATTTTTTCTCATAAGAAGTTTGACATTTATGTTTACTTGGTTATATGTTGATTTTTATTGTGGCAAAGTGGCTGAGGGAATAAATCTTATAAGTGGATTTGAAAAATAAAATGTCATGCATATTCTAGAAATGTTCTAATGTAATTACGAACACATGTTGGGCTCCACTGATCTTGTGAAGCAAGTTCTTTATTCCTTTAATAATAATTAGGGTAGTTGTAGTTTGAGGATTTTGTTTAAAAAGTGTCATCAGTATGTGTGTATTGGTATACATATTCCCTGTGCCTGGAATTGCAAAGAGGGATTGCATGAAGGTACTGTTTCTGTTACAACATAGTTTCTAAGCTAGCAAATGAGATTTTGGAGACAGACTTTAATAAGATGAAGGTTTTATGAACTTGCACTCTTCATAACTTTATGAGCAGTTCTGCACTAATTTCCCAATGCAGGATATCCCCTAGGTGTTTGTGAAGCACTGAGATTGTAGCTGGTTTGAAATTAGTTGTTCCAGTTGACTGTTCCAATTGATTGATCTAATTGACCGAAAAGCATCGATGGCAGTTAAGTATGTTCTCAAATGCTTGTCTGCTGCAAGGAGCAAGCTCCTTTACTGGTGCATTTTCTGTGATACATACACCTACTTTCTCAGCTCCATCACTTTACATGACGGGAGATAACTGCCATTTGGTGGGAAGTTTGTGAGTAAGGTACCTTCAGTGCGGAAGATCATTTTGCTTGAATCTAATACAGATGCCCTCAGATCAACTCACAGATAAAAACAAGAACTAGAACTGTAGTTAGAGCCGCGTCTGCTTCCACCCTTTCACTCCTTCTCTGAAGAACAAGTGAGAACAGATGTCGAGGTGGCGGAAATGCAGTGATGCTTATTTCAGAGGGATAAAGGAGAAGGATTTGGAATACAGTTTTGTTGAGGAACTTGATATTTTGGAATCTCAATGATTCATTTTGCCACTTTTCTGAAACCTAATGAATTTAGGTCCTGAAACTTCTGTATTTGTTAGCTGAAGGGGATAATTTAGTTGATTCTTCTCTGGAAAGATACAGTGTCAGCAGCACATTTGCATTTTGATATTTGACCGCTAAATCAAGCTGAAGGGAGGGGTGAAAGTTTGGATCTTCCTGCAGTGGGGTTTTTGGAATCTACAGCGGTGCTGATAGATCTTTTCATTCAAATAAAGGATCGTTTTGGACATTGCGGTGAATTTTCTAGTCCTTGTTTATAGACACATGAATTGTTTAACCCATCAAATGGAGGAAGGACAGCTTTTTTCCTTTTTTTTTTTGAAGTTGACCCTAGCCATAGTAAGAGTATTTCCTTTTAAGAGATAAAATTCAGATTATAGGAATATTTGCAATTATCTTGCAATTCATTAAAAGCTGTAAATGTGTAAGTTATTTTTTTCAGTTTTGTATTTGTTCTGCTCATTAGTGCTTACTAGTTACTGCTATTTCTATTTCATTATTGCAGTTCTAATAAGAATAATCTTGTTGCTGTAATAATAAACACTACACTAAGGTGCCTGAGGACTGAAACTATTCCTAGGATAATGAAGGTTTAACCCTATTTTTGTTATGAGCTTCTTAACATTTCAACAAAGCTGTATTTTAAGTCATATCTGGTTTCTTGGAGTGTTCCACTCAATGTGTGGCTCTGGCATCGTGGAGGGAGATGCTGCATCCTTGTGGACCGAGGGGCGGAGACTGAGAGGGAATGCCAGGAAGTGGGAGGCAGGTTCAGCAGAGAGCATTTCGGAGCAGTGGTGAGAGAATTTGCCGACTCCAGGACCCAGAGGCAGACATTTTGACCTGGGGGCGGTTTTGGAGGTCGCCCCATCCAGTGCCTTTCAAACTGCTGGAACAGCCCCTGGCTTTGGGGCTTGAGGGAACCCCAGGGAGAGGAAGGGTCACCCTGTGCAGTTCTGCTTCGTGAAACTTCTGTTTTACCTGCTGGGATTATGTTTGAGAAATAGGTTCTGCTGCTAAAACTTAAGAAAAAAATATTGAAGCGCGCTGAGTTGAAGCTACTGATTAAATTATTAGATAGTAGTGGAATCCCTATTTTATAGGTGAGGAAGCAAGAACAGGGACTTCTGAGGTTACACAATGTACAGTGGTAGATCCCAGCTTTTCTGGCTCCTGTCTAGTGCCGCATAGGCTCTAGAAGTTGAGGGAGATTACAGAGTAATTGAGATTTCCAGAGTTCTGGTTGAAGGATAGGTGAGACTGTTCATACCAAATCTAGGACCTGCTGTTTTTTAGAAGGCTGTAGTTAACTGCAAAGGTTGAGATGCTCTTGAATTAGATAGGAAATGTAGACTGCGTCTTTGAAGGATGAAGTCTTTGCCTTCTCTAAAATTGACTTTTTTGTATATGTATATATTTTTTGAAATAGTTTACAATTTGTCAATTTCTGGTGTACAACAGTACTTCATATATATATTTGAATGTACATATATTTGTTTTCATTCTTTTTCACCATAAGTTACTACAAGATATTGAATATGGTTCCCTGTGCTATACAGTATGATCTTGTTTATCTATTCTATGTATATTAGTTAGTACCTGCAAATCTCCAACTCCCAGTTTATCCCTTCCCACCCCCTTCCTCAACGGTAACCGTAAGTTTGTTTTCTATGTCTGTGAGTCTGTTCGATTATTTTTTTAGTACATTAAATTCAAGGTAGAATATGGGACCAAAATCAAAATACAGAATTGAAAAATGGCAGTTAAAATGTCATCATGTGGATACTTATTTCCCTTAATTTGATATACCAGCTATTTTGAAAGTGAGCCGAAAATTTTTCTCTTATGCTTTGATGTGGTACAAATTTTAATATTTACAATGGTTTTCTTTATTTTGTTCAAAAAAACCTTGCCAATGGTTTTAATTCTTTGTTTTGTTCAAAAATTGGCTTCTTAATTTCATAATGAATATTAAGTGAAATATTCTTTGTTTTAAAAGAACTTATATGATTTTCAGACTGGCTAATGTCCTTCTACTAGGATCCTGATCGTTTTGAGCTGAATCTGTTTGCTGGTTCTTAATCTAGTTTCATTAGCTAGAACTGTTGCGAGACAAGGCCCCACGGGGAGGACAGAGTTATCTCAGTAATTTGGCTCATTCATCCGTGTCTGTGTAACACAACTGTTTTCATTCCCGATGTTGCAGTTGAACTAGATCGAAAGCAAATAATTTTCACCTCCTTTCGAGAACGTCTGTCTCCTGTCACTCTGAAGTCTTTTTTTGTATGTCTGTTTTCTTCTAGGTGAGGAATTTTAAATTGGAACAGGAGCAAGAAAAAAACAAAATTTTGTCAGAAGCGCTGGAGACGCTAGCCACGGAACACCATGAACTAGAGCAGTCTCTGGTTAAAGGCTCCCCACCTGTCAGCATCCTTAGTGAGGAAGAGTTCTATGATGCACTGTCAGGTAATTCTGGAACCCTGACATCTGGGTTGTTGGCAATTTAAAGTTGACCATCTCAACGTCACCTTGAGTTTCCTGGAGTCAACAGATGGAAATGTATCGCTCAGCAGCTCCCCAGCCTGGTAGTCCCCCAGACTACCGAGTTTTTGTGTGATGCTGTCAAGGCAGGAGCCTGAAACTTGGGAATGAAAGTCAGCACTGAGTCTGCCTTGATTGACAGCATGTGCTGTGCTAGGGCCGGAGTGCTGTTCCAAC